ATAAAAGACAGGGAAATGTAGGGAAGAGTGTATTCATTATTAACAAAGGAACAGCTTAACAAAATTATAGTATACTGTACAATCAAAAATTACCATACAGCTGGAGAAGAAATACCCAAATGAAAATGCAGTTCAACTGGGAAAATTACAAATTTTGTAAAACTCTTTTGTTAGCAGATAATTCAAAAGAAATGGGAACGAAAGAAATCGGATGGAAATCGTCTAAAATTGCAATTAGTTTTCTCGGGGAATTTAGAATAATATTAAAAACGTGTATATGGATTATATGGACACTACGCAAAAGAGAACAGCTGAATTTTATTATTTAAACAAACTTCACATCCATCAAATCCCGATCAGAGAGCCTTGTAATTTACCTATCACTGATAAATGAACTTGACAACCGCGTTTTTGGTGACTGAAAAAACTGTATATATTTTATACTTTCAAAAACTCATACATAATTAATGAGTTATTAGGCCAATAGAATGAGTCTATTTGGTCACATGCATGGACCTTTATATCTGATAAAACACTCCTTATTAGTATTCTTTATATAAAGAATACTAATAAGGGTGACCTTTAGGTTTGTTTGATACCTGATCATTGACCAATACAGGATGTCAATCGATAGCAGTAAACGGCCAACAGCGGTTCTATTTTACTTTATGTGTAATGTGGGACTATTTTGTAGTAAATATAGTGGAAAGTGTTATAATTAGAGTGTAATAGATCGTAATTGTCGCGTAGAGACAATAGAGTCGTTTGCAAAAACCCGTGAAAGACACTTTAGTGTAATACACTTTATCACACTTTAATACATTTTATTACGATTTAATTTCAACAATGCATTTCAATGTATAGACAAATTCAGAATTTTGAATAACAAGATAAGCAAAATAAATGATGGTTGACAAGAAAAAAAAATGCAATTACAATGTCTGTATAATATAAAAATTAGGTAAAACCTAATAGCGGAGCTCCCAAAAGATATGCATGTTGGATGAAGATGTACTGATGCAAGACACATTGGTCAGATTGGTCAGTACATGTTTTGTCAAGACTAATTTATTTTTGCTAACAAAAAAATTCCATGGCACTACATTAAAAAAATATTAAACTTTTTCTCTTCAGCTTTGTTGATGCAAATCAGTGATATATATAATTATATGTAAAGAAAACAACTTATTTTGAATTCTTGTGGTTATTTACCAAAATAAAGCTTCCTTAGATAATCTTACAGAAATCATAAATTAATATTAATTCTTAATATATTTTGAAACTTTGACATTTTTCAATCATACAGGAATTATAAATAATATTAAATGCATTTTGGCAGTTTTGGTATTTTTCAATCATTAAAGGAATAATAAAATTATAATAACAAATGCATTTTGACAGTTTTGAAATTTTTCAATCATGCAGAAATAATAAAACAA